CTGGAAAAACTAGTAGGAAAAATATCATTGTTCTAGGGTAGAGCATCATTGAAGAAGGTTACACGTATATGTTACATCACGCTACGACTGTAAAAAGCGTAAGCAGTAACAATAAAGGCAGGTGAAACGAAAAAGCTAGTTTTGAAGAAAGAGTAACGCAACTTCATACTCATTTATTTGCAAATTCAATATGTATCTGAGTTCTACTACTTCCCAAGGATTGCTCAAGGAAATATTTGACAAAGGTTACTGCTAAAACCATTCCATTTTTTAATATATTAAAAGATGCAAAGAAACAGCTATATAAAACAAAATAAATATACCTAGTAGCAAACTGATACAGGAAAACATAAATACTGAAGCTCATTCAGTACTATTTAATTAGATCCGTTAAACATTTGCTTTTTTAATTTTTTAATTAATTCATTTTAAATATGTTTTGATTTCAATTTATAAATCTAAATAACGCGTGAATTTTGGTTAAAAATAATACTACAAAAAAATGGTATGGTATTTATAACTACATATTGTAAAAAGTAAAATTATTAAGATAGTAGACTGTTTATTTTAAAAGGATTTGTTTTCTTAGGTCTTTGCAAAAGTGATGGTGGACTTATGACCAAGTAAAATATGTACGAGTATATGGTTATGCTTGTGCTTAATTTCCTCGAATTAAACCAAGAATAATTTTTATGTAGATAATTTTATTGTTAAATATCCCACACAAATGGATTCGCGGGCAACAGTTAGTAATGTAATGTTAATATTGAAGTATGTAGTGGTGCGTGGTGTGTGGTGTTTGCGTGGCGGTAGGGCGCGTGGGCCGACGCCGACGCCGGCGCTACACGGACGTATTTTTAAACCGTGGGGCCGCCGCGCTCAAGCTCACCTTTCGATCTATTCCTGGCCATCTTATTTTTAAACTTTTGTCTATATTACTTTCCTTCCGTCTGCTTATTAGTGGATGATTGAGATGCGTCGCAGGGGGCGCTCTACTCAAAATATATCGCAATGATATTTCCGGTATGTCAATAACCGACCACGTGGCAGATGCCGCTGCGCCCTTCTGTCATTGTAATAAAGGGATGGATCCTCTCCCTACAATCAAAATAGAATTTACTTTCAAACATAGTTTGAAGTCACACGTGTGGTAAATGGTGAAACTTAAAAGGAAGGAATGTATTTAGGATGTTCGTAAGAAGATTACGCTTGTGTTGTTATAACTAAAAATGATGGACAAAAACGATTCCCCCTATCTCTAATAAATAGCGCTTAGTTATATGTAGAAAAATGTAAGTGCTTAAAGCGTTTCTGATTAGTTTATTTCATCGAAGCTGCCTACCCTTTCTGCGATGTAAGCTTGAGTGTATGTTTATAAATATCTCGAAAAACTATTTAAATCCTTCCAGCAACCAAGATTTAAAATCATAACCAGTGTAATGTACTAATTGTAAAAACACAAACATGTAGGGTAGTGTGCAATTATTATTTACAAAATTACTCTCCTTTAGAAATATACCAAAGTCACTGATGTGGGTTGTTCAAGGAAGCACTCTAAAATCGACTGGTCTGAATTACCTGACATCAAATTTAATGATGTTGTACTCTCGATTAGTACTTGTGTTAAGAACTTAATAATTCTGATAGTACTTTATCTTGAGGCCCCTAATCACGCCAAGTTAGTAGATAAGTTTTTGAACTTTCTACCAAGGCTCACTAAAATCGCGTTAGCTGAATCCCTGCTCCTGCCTATACTCGATTACGCTAATGTCAGTTATCTCGATATCACTGAGGAGCAACTTGATATACTCGAGCGCCTTCAAAACTTCTGCATTAGATTCATATTTGGTTTACGCAATCATGATGTGACTGAATTTCATAAATTGCTCAAGTAGCTCCCAATTTGACTTCGACGGAATACACATATTCTTTCTATACTGTATAGTATCTTATTTAATCCAGTTACCCTACCTTACTTAAAGGAACTTTTTGTATTCCTCAGTGACACACATCCAAGATCCGGTCGTCGGAATCTATGGAGCTAATAGTACCTAGTCACACTACCATATTCTATGACAAATCTTTTACGGTGCAGGCTGTCAGATTATGGAACGCCTTGCTGATATTCATAAGACGTGTCCTAAAACTAATAGCAATTAAGAATATGTTTAAAGATCACTACTTAGGTTCATAAATACTCTTTGCTTTCAAAAGCTGTACATGACTAAGTGATTTCATGGTTATTAATATATATATTGTATTTATTTATATGGTACCCGCGACTTCGTTCGCGTAGAATTTAAAAAGAGCTGCCACTGTGGTGTGGTTACGGTACGCGACTGCACTCCATTAGGCCTCGGGTTCAATTCCCGGATCGGGCAAAATTTTATAGGGTTTTTCTGAGAGGAAAAATAGCCTAAGTTACTCCTTATATAGACAACTACCTGGTAGTAAAATGTTATCAAAAGCGGTGCAGCCATTTTGAAGATTACCCGGCACAAAAAGACAGACAGATAAAAAATATTTAAACTAATTATGTGAGCATGCAAAAAACTTCAAATTTATTTATTTGTATAGATATATGTATGTGTGTGTGTTATGTTCGCCTATAATTATATATTTACCCGACTGCCAAAGAAGGGTTATGTTTTATTTTTACACGTCTGTAAGCTTCAATACACCTGGACTACCCATTGCTTCTTCTCACCTACAGTCGATTTGTCCATCAAAAAGTTGCCTGGAAGAGATTGTTTTTAGCAATAAGGCCACTCATAATACATATCCGTCTGTAATATTTTATCCAACATATTGTATTTGGTGTACAATAAAGCATATTCTGTTCAATAAAGCATTTTCTCCAGTCTAAAAGACCTTACAAAGTAAATTGGTGAAAAAATATATTTTACTAGACATTTCTAGTAAAAGGATTTAATGCTATTAAGGAAGCGGGAATCAGTGGTCAACAGTAAATGACCTTTAATATACTGTTGACCACCAATTCCATTTTCCTTCACAATATATATAAACGATGAAACTCCGTCACCGCGGCGGTGTGGTTAGTCAGTATAGCGTACACCGACCCAAACACCTGTAATTGTGAGAAGAAATCCACCAATTTGTCCGTAATGGTCTGATGACGAGATAAAGACATTATAAACAAACCTACTTTCACATTTGTTAGTAAATATAATGTCATTAGCAATATTTCCATACACAGCTAGTTTAGTGGGCACTTGAAAAACTGCCTAAAATTACAAATGGATTGATTCTCGAAGTAATTATCACATTCCATTGATGCCGTTTTTAAATTTGACCAAATATAGTAATATAATTGTGTGTAAGTGTTGTCCGTGTGGTGACGGATTAAGAATACAGAGTGTCACCACCCCTATTCATCCCGTGGGTGTCGTAAGAGGCGACTAAGGGAGAAAACTACGCAGGACAACAACACTGCAGAGAGAAGGAAAACTTGAAACAAACCCTATACCAACCCGTCTGGCCAGCGTGGTATAGTAGGCCAAAACCTCCTTTCTAAGGAGAGGCCTATGTCCAGCAGTGGACTAGTATAGGCTGTTGATGATGATGATGATGAATTGTTTATCAACAAATTGCTTTATTTATATATAATATAAACGTATCAAAACGGCTATAAATGATGATAGACGTTTCTTATTTGCTCTCTAGGGGACACTTTAACATTTGAATTACTTTGTGTACTAATACCTACTAACAGTTAAATAAAGAAAACTGGTCAAGAGTTTCAGGTATCACATTTTTGAAATAAATTAAGATGGCAATTCATCAACGCCTTTCTCTCGCGCAAATAATTTGTCTTGTATTGGTGCTTTCTAAAATACTCCATAAATACGTGTTTAAACTGTGATTCTAAGATATATTAACGATTTTTCAGGACTTCTTTTGATTTGATTTTTCTGTTAAATAATTTATCATAGATATAGTTTCCATTCCTGTAAGTCCTGCCTGGATACTAAATGTAAGATTTTTAGAGACACATAAAACACTAAGTTCGTTCACAAATAATAATTCAGATGTAAAAAAATATATGACTTTAACATCTTCTCTCATAGTTACAACGTGATAATGTCATTATATAATCAGGAAACTAATAGACGTTTCCGGGGTGATGTGCGCCACATGTGGCACCCTGCCGCCCTTTCCGCCTTGACAACCCTATCAAGTGACGAATTGCTCACATCTGGCAAACTCGAATTATTCGGAGCTCACGACTCCATCTGTCAATAGCAACATCTAACAACACCATCTCAACATCTCGTGACTCCCCACACAATTAAGGAACACATTTGGCCCACAAACAATTTTTTTAGTTCATCAAAATAGAAACCGTAGGTCGTTTATGAATGAGCGGCCCTTGGACGTGTCCTTGTGAGTTGTGAATGATTATAATGTGAATGAATTTGTTCGGGTTCACTTCGAAATTCTCACTTGATGTATTTCAACCCAGTCACGCTCACTACGTTTCGATTTTTCTCTTTTTTTTTCTTCGTCTTATTGATAGGGTCTCTAGAAATGTCTTTGTGAAGTAGCCCACTTTTACTTAGTTGTGTAATCTAAACGCGTCAATAAAAAGAGTACACGTCTTGTTTTTAAAAACGGAATGTTTAAATAGCTGAATACCGAAACGATTAATTGTTATCGACGCCTTCATTGCAAGCGAACAATTTCCCAAAATAAAACGAAAAAGCGTTCATTATTAATTTCAGTAATTAAAAAAGTAATAACATAATAGGCATCCATTCCCTTTGACCGAGCTTCTTAAAGTCATGTCGATACAGATTGCCGAGTATAATCGATCGCGGCACCGTGGGTCTATGAGTGAGTCATACCAAAGTAGTTAGTCTCCTGTCAGATTCAGAGTCGTGGAACGAAGCACAAATAGCGAAGGGCCAGTTAGGTAAAGGAGGTCCGGCTGCGTGTGCAGGTAATGCAGATAGAATGCGCTGAATCCGCTCGACTGGTTTCTAACTCAATGTCGTGTGGAATGCAGGTGTGGGGACGCGGGGAGGGAGGTGCGCGGGCGCGGGGCGGCGGCCGCATCGGATGGTGTTGTCGCAAGTGGCCGCCGCACTTGTCGGCGCGTTTGACTGCCGGAGATATTCGGCGCGGTAACGGGCCGCGGCCTTCCTGGAATTGGTTACCTGTCGCATTCCTTCGGCGGTCGGCGCAGTCGTGCCGCTCTCTCGCGCGCCCGCTACAACATGCATAGCGATGCAACCTCTAATTCTCGCGTTCCTGCAACACGACGAATTTCATCACACTTCCGACAGATAACAATACCCTTTACAATTAACCACATTTTCTATTAAAATATTTATTGGAATTGTTTGCCTCCAGTCTACCTTTCATTACAGCTTTCGTACCTCTTCATGTCTTAGCTTCTAGACATCATTACCCCTACCTGTATGTAGAAGCGAAAAGTTTCAATTGCATATCGATTACAATCAGTAAGAAGAAAAGTATCTAAATAATCTTATGCCTAATAATAAATAGTGAAACGTCTTTAGTGACTGGGTAGAACATCCTTATGGATGTCTTCCGACTCTCGGGTGAGAAGTTGCTGATTGAGTCTGTTGGTCTCTTGCCGACAAATACGCATAGTGCCGCAACTTTCATTCTTTCCTTGAAAATAAAGCACACAAACTAGGAGGGGTCCGGATGTCTTAAGAATAGCGGTTCCCGGATCTCTCCTATAACAGGCGCAGAGTAGCACAGTTTTAGTCGGTCCGATTCCAACACATCACCCCTGTGGGGTGACGGTCCTAGGGGGTGTCCACACGTAAAAAAAGGGTTTGTGTCAAGTTTTCCTTCTCTTTGCAGTGCTGTTGTCCTGCGTATTTTACTCCCTTAATCGGCTTTTACGACACTTACGGGATGAATAGAGGTGTTGACACTTCGTATTCTTAATCCGTCACCACACGTATACCTTAAAATGATTAAATTAGTGTCCTTCAGATATTAAAAAGTAGAGGCACTTATACAATTTCTCGTACTGGTTCGATATAAAATAAAAGCTTTAAAGTTATTTAATTCTGAAAAGCAGATAGGTTTGTACACATTATAATTACATACATAGACATATCAATAATGATACAATACTCTGTACGGCTGCTCGATATTATAAACCTCTAGACAATCAACTATTTTCTTGCGTTACATTATTGAATAGAAGTAAGTAAATATATATGTCAAAAGATAAAAACCGTTACCAAACCGAATTCCAACAATAGCGCCATAACTAGTCCTTTGGTTGAGACTTATAACTCGGTTAGTATGAAACAGTAACGCTTACGTCACGGGTTGTAAGTAATATAAAGATGATCGTGATCAAGAGAATTCATGATCGCAGCAAGCATTTATGCCTATTTTTTATTTTACGATTCATAAATTGATAACCTCGTCGGTGGCAGTCGGTGGCCCTCACACACACATACAAAACGCTCTAATAGATCTTACTTACTCTAATCTCATACAGTCCACCGACCGCTGCCATCATCTATATTTTCTTCAATTACAAACTATACAAGACCAGTTGCGAACGAACGTTTTATTGGCAACTGGAACATTCCACGCAATGGTAAGTACTCTATTGAGGCCCCTGTACGATCCTCGCAATGGCAGAAATATACCTACGGACGGGGCGCAACTGGCCATGTGTGCGTGTAACTATACATAAATATATATGTGTATTTTATATATGTACAACCATTGGTTCACGCAGACTCGTGTGTGTAAGGAGGCCGAACTTTCTGAGAAAAGTTTCAGTGGCTGTTGCCGGATCTCGCTGAAACTGTACCACCTTGTTGTGTTGTCCTATAATACTTAGTATAAGTTGATTTGAGGAAGTGGTACGTGAGATCGTAATTATGAATTAATATCCAATTAATATATCTGTAGTGTACGTTAGGAGGCGTGTCTGCGTGTGTAACGGCACCCTCGCGGCCCCAAGTAGGTAGCCGTCGCATGCGCTCACGGCGGTCGATTAGGGAAATTGACTACGCACCTACTCACAATCTATTGTTTTAATTGGTACCACGCAAATGTAAAGAGTTTTATTTTAATGAGGTACCAATCTCATTTTCCGCACGTATTGAATGTACCTAAACCACTGTTAAACGTAACCAGGAAACAGTTTTATCCACTAATATATTTATTCATTTGTTCGCTTCGCTTATTTTCAATAATTTGAGATTGAATTACAAATGTCTATTGTCTGGATAAATGTATTAACTGTAACCATTTGTGACGAAGCAACGAACCTTTACAAGTATTTAGTTGATATTCGAGAGTAGAAAATGATATAAATAATTACTTAACATTTTAATCTGACATCTACAGATGTCAAATATGATATTTGATAAACATTTATTTTTACGTTTGGTAGATTATTTAAATACTTTACGAATATAAAACATACTTTGACATATACATACATAAGAATAAGTGTAACTGTTGGAAAAAATGTACTTTAAATTAAAAGTTTTTGATTGTGATTTATATTTAATTGATAAACCTGTAAAGTAATGTTTTATTTTATTGATCTATCATTAATTGCTGAAATAAATAAAACATATAGCTATAAAGTACCTACTTAATAAATTCTTAAATTGATTAATGGAAAATAGACAAAGCTTGTTTGACACCTGTCATAGTCTTAAAAAAAGTATCATTATTATTTACAGCAGAATCTGTTTCTCCAATTGATTAGTTATTCTTCTTTTGACTGCAAAATAAGTTTAATTTAATTACATCTATTTGTTATTGCGGAATATTAGTAATTATGTATTATGGTTTAGTTTATCTTTTCAGTTACACGATAAAGGATATCATTGATAGGTACAATTACTGTACATAATGTAAAAAACAGTAGGCGGAGAGCGATTACTTAGATTATCTATGTAGATTATTGTAAATATTGTAATACATATACTGGTATCGTTGTTTTTTTATCGAGTGGATACGAATATAAACGATACGATTTGCAAAGATAAAATATTGCATATCTTAGCCAATAAATGTGGGTCTGTGTTGTTATTTATGATATTTGTCATACCTACTTATAGATTTTGTATTAAGAAAGAATTAGAAACATATGAAAAACTTAGAAACGTTGCCATCTCCAAGTTAGTTGGACCAATGAGTGGTAAAAAAACGTTTGAGAAATAAGGTAAATACAATATTCACAGAAGTCCTTAGGGGAGCCAACGCTGGTCGTAGGATAGGGCGAGAAGCGCTTTCGCTCAAAGCTTCAGGTGGTATAGGAAGCTAGAAACAGATTCATCAAGAGCTAGGGGCTGAGAGATCTGGCCGATGACACCATAGAGGTTAGAATTTAGGGTAATATCCAGTTCCAGTCACAAAATTTCACCTCGCCTGCCTGAGCTACTGCTTACCTCTCCTTTTCCTATCAAAAGGCTTGACTCCAGTTAAATAAGTGATACTAAATAGTAGTAATCAAAATGTGGGCGTTTAATCTGTCTACCCTTTTAGGGATAAAGCTGTGAGTACGTAAGGCAGCTTAGAAATGTTCATATATGTGTTAGAAATAGTCACGTATCAGTAACGTTATTATTAATCAACTTCTTACTCTCTTTATGTTTTAAGATTTTTATCATTTTGTCACGTATGTCGCAATATTAAAATTAGTCGCTTTAATAAGTCATGTTTTTACATTAAGCTTAACTCAATTGTCACATTACCAGCCAGACTGAATATTTAGACTACTTTTTTTCTCGACCTCTCTCTCTATTTCGTCTATAAATGTAGACTCCTGTATGTGCATATTTTAAGCAAGAACAACTATAATATATTAGTATGCCCAATGCTGTTAAGACTTTTAAGAGATCTCTTTTAAAAAGAGGGTAGTTTCTGAAATAGTACAGAGATTATCACGTTATAAGTCATTTGCTTTTAATTTCATTTAAAAGTAGTAAATGCTTGCGGGTTCTGTAAGCAAACAAATTTGTATGTTAAATATTAGGTCCTTACATATGAAATTGGCGTTTTGTACGGGTGGAATATAAAGTCAATTTTTTTTTGTAAAATATATTTAATTAATCAAAGTATGCACCGTTGTTATCTATGCACTTTTGGCATCTTATAGATAGTTTATTGATCCCTTTCCAAAAAAAAAACAGGGGGCGAGAATCAATAAACTCTTTGAAGGCGGTCAGGAAGGCGGAAGGAACAGCAGTCGACGCGTGTTTGCAAGTTCGATTCACTCAATTCATGAGGTACCCATCGTTCAAGTTTTTTTTATTTTCCCGATTTGATTCAAGTGGATTAATACAGTTTTATCACTTACCCCGAAGCCTGCAGCTATCTCTGATGTGCTTTGTGATGGATCCGCTTCCACAATAGCCTTCAATTCTTCATTTTCCACCTTCGAGCTGTTTCTGCAGCACTGGTGCCACGGTAGAACTCGTACTCGTAAATATACCGATATTTCATTTTTTCCTTTGTGCGGTACTAAGCGACGCCAAAGAAAAAAATAATGAGGAAAAAACAAATGAATGACTGTTTTCAAAACTCAAATGTACCAGCTAAATGAATTTATAAATTTGAATTCGGAATTCTTAACCAAAGAGGAGATATTTCACATCAAAGTGGTCAGTACGAAAAAAAAGGCTAATTTCATATGTAAGGAAATAATATTATGAAGTTATCGAAAACCAATCCTTGAAAATATTAAGACTTCACAAGACTGCCCCAAAAAGTGCATTATGTACCTATTTATATAGTCTACCATTAGCTTTCGGTCGTTACTCTGCAAATTGTTATTTTGCAAATCTTTCAGGTTCGGTTTCGTAATTGAATTCAGACGTGAAAATGTACCTAACTAACACTCGCAATAATTTTTGGGATTTTTTCTAAAGGTCCGCAGAGCTTCGAGAACTATTGCGTATTGGGTATCGTTAAATTCTTTACGTCATCCCGACCCGAGTGACACTAACTATTTTTTTTTAAAACAATATGGCTGAGGTTTGGCGTAAATTCCTTTTTTGGAATATTTCCAAAAGACAAACAAACGGTGCTAATAGTATTATCGTATACATAGATATACGTAACTGTTAATATTCTAACCGCAAAACATAAGTTTATATTTACCAATATTTAAAAACATATATTGACTTCTAGATGTTTTTCTATGAGACCCTGCTTCTTGCAAATTTCAAGACTCCACGTCAATAGAAAGGAGTCAGATCAAAACTGATCTTATTGTGATACCTTTTCTGCTTGTTGAGGAACGGGACTCTAAAAAGTATACATGTATGGGTATTGAAATTTCAAAGTTTTGACAAATGAAAATGGTGTATGTTTACTTGCTATGAACCTTTTTCGGACTTACCTTAGTCGACGTTTGTACCACATTATATGTCATATTATACCTTACACTTCCAATAAGAGCATAGAATACGAATTTGTTATTTTCGTTTTACATAAAAAAATATTTTGACAAAGATAGAAAGAAATGCTTTGATTAGTGGCTACCTACTGATTGTGCATTATTGTTGGCAATGTATTACGTTTAATAGTTCACACGGATTGTTCTGCGTCAGCATACGTTCATGGTACCTATAAGTATTTAGCTCTCGTACTTCGGTTACTTGGAAGTGCCTTCCACGTGCAACGTCTACCTACCTACACGTCAGTATCATTTTCCTCCACTTACACGCTTACAATGACAATATATTTTTCCTTTGTCACATAACTATGCACCTTATTATCGGATGTAACTAAATCTATTCAAGCTACTTTAAACTTTATCATTTTGCAATAAGAATCCTTTTTTAAAATAGATGTCAAATATTTAGGGAGCAATAGCATAAAGTATCTTTATCGTCCCATGTGGAACACGTGTGTCTAAACCCAATTTCCGCCCTTCGCTTCCCTTGGGTAAACCAAGGACGGTGATAAAAGTCTTACTTAATTACTTACATTATAATTAACAAAGTTTCTATTCGGTCCGTTCAAATTTAAACCTTACTTGTTGCTTTATAAAAAAAATATTGTGAGTTACGTACATTTGAACAATAAGTGGTAAAATGTAGCAAATAAGTGTAAGGAGTTTAATAATGGGTTTAAAGTAAAAAATTACATTTGATTTCCTAACATTACCTTATTGCCTAATGTCATATTCTTATAATTTAGTTTTTACTTATATTTAATTATCTATATTAATTACTTACATGGTATTATTCAGACATATCAGAAAGCCGTCTAGTAGCTACCTAAAAATACGCAAAATGTCTTGGATACTCAAGCTCGAAAGTTATTTCAAGAATATAAAATTAAGTATGTAATAAATTAAGAGATATATATTCTCTATTATTCTAAATGATTCTTAGTAATTTAATTAAATTTTATTTTTAAAGTTCATCCAATTAGTAAAGCTAATTTAAAGGTGGCTCAGAAGTAATTCATTAACTTCCTGTAAGTTGTTCCTAAAACAGGCACTTTAATTAATACAATCCCATACTATCGACTACATAAAGAAGCCAGCATTTGAAGCTAACACCTTGTAGCCACGTGTACAAAAGGTGCAACGTGTTAAGTCAGTAGGTATACGCGCTTGCGCAGATACCAAATAATTTGACCATCCACTTGCAACCGGCATTTTTCTCGGTGATAAACACAAATCCATGACTAGGTTCACCTGGCCTATTTAATACCACATATCCAGTGTATAATTCTGTAAAAATAAAATACTATATAAAGTGTACACGGCACCTGCAGATAATAAATTAAAAAATAACTATTGCCAAGGCAGTGTCGGGCTCTCGTTCCGGGGTCAACGCACGGCCACCCCTTCCTCGTACCCACTATATGATAATTAATTTTATCCACAACGTATAAATAGGCAGTTGTAGTATAATAATCTGCATTCTGCTTTATGTCTATGGTACTTCTTTAGTACTTTGAATGTTGTCTACTCCATTGTGCGAATATGCCCGATTATATTCCCAATGACATGACAAAAGAATTCGGGTTTTTGATAACAAACTGACATATTTAGTTCAGGCCTGCAGTTGAACCCTACATCTTCACATAAATATATTATGTTAAGATTTGTACCAAAAACAATTACTACTCCTCAATATATATTGTGATCCTCAATTCTGAGGGTCGTGACCCCTATTTGGAATTTTGCAAGTGATAGCTCGCTACCCGTTCCTGTCTTAAGCAGAAAATACATTTATTTTATTTTATTTTTATTCTCAAAAAAAGAAATCTATTTGGTTCGTTTTAACAGTATATATATAGTCATAAAAGAATCCGAGCTGTAAAAAAATGCGAATGATTAACAGTAGTGTTCCTAAGTAGTTTGGGTAATCATTCATAGTAGTATAAAAAGATAAATAGTTTTTTGATACTATTATCACTAATCTGCCATGAGACTAAACAAAGTTCACATTGACATAAAATGAAACACATCACAGAGTCCACAGGGAAAATGTAGAAATCTCTATGGTTTACAGTAAAGTATACCAATCTGGACAAAATTACAGGGATCATTATGCTCAGAATGGTAGTCCTAGGATCAAAATTAAACTTAAATCCAAGCTAAAAGGATAATTATTCAGTAAAGCATTTCAACATCCCATATATGAATATACAGAATCTAAAGAGAACTACTGCAATATTTATCTGTAATTTAAAAAGCGGCGCTAATTGAAATGTAGCGTTTGTTGTTGGCTGCGCAGGCGCAGGCCCGAGGCGTCATGGAGGGGCGGTGTGTGCTTCGTTCGCGCCTCTAGGATTAGTTCTTGGAATTCCGGGAATCTTATGTCCATAGTCCCACATTAAGGCACCGACAACAACGACACTGATAACATTCTATCGCCCCGTACACATGCGCTCACAAAAACATTACATAATATTATATTATTTTTCTAAGTATTATTCAATTATCTTTTGCATTAATTTAATAAGTGACTATACACTGACTATACAATAATCTCGCATACAAAAACACTAATTGAAATAATGTAGGGATATGACTCAGGATGTAGGTCCTACCTTAAAGGTAACAGAGACGACGAAAGGTACGAGACGAGAGAAAAAGGTAACAGCCACCATGGCAATCCTTGTAAAAAAGTGACAAATAGTAGGTATTTACAATTTCTTTTACACCGATGTTCTGACTAGCGTAATATTCTTATTAGGTAGTTTTTTTTTATGGACAGGAAGATTTTAAGTAGGTATACACTTTATTAAATATCGTCATTTTCTAACAAACAGTGAGGATTTTATAAAAATATTTTGCCATCAACTTCATATAGCTACGAACTTTAAAAACATACCTACGGAGGTAGTTCATTCAAAATAGTTTCAGATGAAACTATATTTTGATTTATAATATTATTATTTTTCATTTATTTATACCTTTTTAAAACAAATTAAAATACACGAAACTGTTCAAGAAAATTACAAATAGTTAAAAAATGCAAAATATCCTAATACACGTTAAATTGCCGTGCGGGGTGCGCGAGCACCGCGCTCAGGATAGGTGCAGAATGAACTGCACATTTATGTAATTTACTAATTCAGCTTGAGATTAATTACTTGTACATGTACATTTTGTTTTATTATTATACATACATATTTTTAAAATACCTACAGACACAAAACCATACGTCGGCGGCTAGCACCGCAATCCCTCCCGATTTTTGTAATCTCATATTATTCACGTTTCTGGTCAAAATTCCTACTCTTTTATGAACTCAACGTGAAAATCGAATTTTCATCTTATATTTCAATAGGTTTTTGTACATCTCATTATCACCGAATCAACAGGTTCGACGTCCAAGCAACAGTGCTGTCGGAAAATTTTCAATAATTTTCCTTGAAAGACGCGCAAACATTTTAATGCTTTTATTGTCCAAAACTGATCTTGAGGTTTGCGCCTACACTTCGAAAGCAAAAGATTTAGGATGAGAAAGTTTTTTTTGAACACTTATGTGCACTCAGCGAGGGCGCAGTGAAGCCGCCGCCCCGCACCCGCGCCGTCGCCGCCTGGGCGGGCCCCCGCTTTTATGTTTTTTATGCAAAAACCAATGCACCTATAATATTTTTTGTTACATGAACAGGTCCCGTAGGATCTCCTTTACCATAATAATTTATAAAAATACATTTTTTTGGTGCGCAATTCAATTTAGACCGAGTGGAAGGAATGTACAGTTCAAACCTGAATAATTAATTAATGGGTTTTCTGGTACCAACTTATTTCTACTTAAACAACAGCGCATTTCAAAAGCTTTCTAAAGATGTAAAATAACCCTGGAAAAGACTATGGGAAAAAAGCAGAAAATTTATCAAAGTGTGGGGGGTATAGTACGGTGTGCGAATTTTTGTGTTTTTTTTTTCAATGTGTTCCATGAGTGTAAATGTATGAAAAGTGTTAGTTATGTGAGCGGGTGGTGTGCGCGGGGGCGCTCACACCCTAAACGTGTACAAAATGAATACGTTTTTCATAAGAAAACTAGGTTTATGGCGGCGCGGCAGCGTGGTGGTGTGCGTGCCTGAGGCGCGGCGATTGGCCGCCGCGTGGCTGTGTGCGTGCGCGCCCCCGCTCGGCCTCTCGCCATACCTACCGCGCGCCGGCGCGCCGCCACACACTCACACATGCGCGCGCGCTCTACAACCTGCGCCCGATATTTATATTCTCACATTTATTTTGAAAATGTCATTTTTTTTTCGGGATAACACATGTATATACCTACTCTAACTACTTATTATTACTTCATGGCTAATAAAACATGCAATTTTTTACGTTATTTTTCATTTATCTTTATGTTTTTTGGATATCCTATATATAACTTCTACATGATCTTAATTAATTATTTTCTTTTTTAAGTACTTATTACGACCAATTATACAAAAATTATTTCCTACTAATTACAAATAGGGATACCTACCTATTATTTTTAGCCACGTTATAGTAAAATAGGTATTATTTCTTAAGGTGTACTTATTTAAAAAAAAACTATGAAAATTATAGCACTTACCTAATTATTGTTTATATGGAAGTAATTGGATATTCTCTCAAATGCATTGTTAATCTAGTCAATCTCTATCCTTAGTTATTCTGTGAGTTAATGAAATCATAATGTAAATAATAATGCTACTTACTACTAGTAATAGGTACACAATAACTAAAATGTATAAAAAAGTAATAGTATCATTGTTGTACATAATTTAACAGAAAACCGATTAAGAGATTAACTTACAGCTGTCTCTTTTCAGTTTTTTTTTGTCAATATTATTAATAAAAGTAGGTATGTACACTTATTATTTGACAAAAAATATATTTTTTTGTTTGGTTGTACAAACAAACCTATTTATTAAAATGATTAAATCAATACCGGAAACCAATTTCAATTGAGCCATTATACATTTTTGTAGTCATTGATATTGCCAAAAGCCCCGTAATTTGATCAACTAAATTTTTATGTAGCATTTGATTCAAATCTGTGATCCTTATATAAATTACAACCCTTGTTAGTTCACTTTGTACCTACTATTGTACTCCCATGTACTCCATTAAATATCGTTTTAACTTCAAATATTTTTACATATTCCTTAAGGTACGATTACATCAATACGGTATTTACATCTACCTGCCATCCTATACATCCATACGTACCTAACTGCCGTTAACTAATGTGGTATACTTTAATTGCCATCACACCGCCATACGTCTTTAACAGATCGTATCTATATGGTAATTGTAAAGAGACATTGATTCATGTAGCTGTAGAAATTGAAGCAGAAACGACACATCGTACCACCAGCATAGCACAAGAAATTTGCTGTTGCTGACGTTAAGCCGTCGTCTAATTTTGTGTTTTAGTTCTTGTTGAAAATAATCTTAGTACTAATACCCTAACCCCTAACCCTAGTCTTTGCAACCAGAGTGACAAATGGTTGGCAATAATTTTGTTAATAAGAGTTTTATTTTCTAAAAATGACCACTCCTGCATTAGGAATGTATCCTGTGTCGCGGGAGACTTTACAAACATACACGAAACGGACACAAAGAACACCGAAATCCAGAACAATTTGTGGATAACACAAAGTGTTGTCCCATGTAGGTACCCAAACGACTGCATCAGAAGTAATATGGCAATCATTATTAGTCAACATCTCGCTTTTGTTTTTATGTTAACTAACACGCAAACAAGTTCACAGCATCTAAAAGGATTACAAGAAGAAATGTGTACTTAGTGACATAAACATGAGTATCAAATAAAAAGATCAGTAGTAGATATGTCCACGCCAAATTCTTCTTGGAAAAAACATAAAACCGGCCGAATGTCCTGGTTGTTTAATAGTCTCATTGACATCGTCATCTTTTTAGAACATGGTTTCAATGTAGTATAATGTTGGATGATCTTGAAATAAAAGGGATTTAGTATAATACAGAGAGAAGTTGTTAGCTTACTGTAAACAGACAGACAACAAAGTTATCATGTAAGGATTTCTTTTTCCTTTTGAGAAATGTAAACCTACAATATCTCTTAAGTTTGACGATATGTACAGATATGTTCTTAGATTTGTCCACACATCATGATGTTTCATGACATTCACTGCTTGACCCGATTCTAAAGTAATGAATGCTATGATTTGACCATGTTGGCATTTCAAACACTAATCGTTGTTGTTTGCATGGTAAGATGGTAAGGAAAAAAATATTTGTAATGCTTATTTCAAAACCAAGAGCTTGCAAGCAAATGCAATATTTAAACATAATTTTAAGCATAAAATAGTAAGTTTACACCCATCGCATGAATATTGATCATTCGGTTCCATTAACTTAAATGGTAGGTGCACAATTACAATTTCAGTGGTGCCAAGGTAAGGACTTTTAAAAAAAAATGGATAATATATTACTCGTTCAATCGATATCGTATCAATATTTATCTCTATTGAATGAATTTTTAAATGTGATTGATTGATTGTTTGATACAGTATATCCACAGTATAATTGCTTAATAAACACATCACTTTGAATAATTCTTACTATCAGAGTCGGTATATAATCTTAAAAGCATTTAATATTTCTATTCTATCTATATCTATAGGTAGGTAGATAGGTATTGTCTCTAGTGAAGGCATCATCAATTAATCAACCAATCCACCTATAGCAGTTCCCTGCTGAACATAGGTCTCTCCCAACGTGCGCCACAGCACTCGGTTCTTCGCCTTTCGCATTCAATCTACCAACCCGAGCTACTTCTCTCAGGTCGACAGTCCATCTGACTACGGCATAGGTATTAGGTTGTATTGAATATCAAATCCATATGATCCTTATGACTGTCTATGGGAACTATGTTTCTTCCTTGCACACGAAAAACTTTAAAGGTTTGATGGTGGTTAGAATAAAGACTTTTCATCCAAATATTTTTGACGGTTCTTTATCCGCTGCTAGCCTACAACTTCTAAACATACTGGGCCGTCCTTAATTTAAATCAGGATATAGGTTAAATTCGAACCAGCAATTTGCATTTTACTATTCAGACCAGTAAATTTGCCTCCCGACAAACTCACATACCATTGATATCGTTTTTTCTCTCTATGTATTTAGTACAAGGATAGTTTAATTGAATTTACTTCAAGAATAACTGTATACTAAAATCCAGTTAATAATACAGAGCCCCAATGTGATAATCCAGCAAACACTCGTTTGCGTCAATATTAACTGTTACGTTATTGATGTTTAAATTCAGCCCTCTGTACAGCGGAAGCCTCTACCCCAAGCTTTGTTCCCACCTTCCTTCGCCAAAAAGATGTGCACAAATTATAAAAAGTCAATTATTTGATTATTACTTATAATATCGACTTCAGTAATCTAATGGGATCTTAAAAGTCAACTTTCAATTACTTCCAAAGTGTAATAAACGAGAACTTAACTACAAATATTGTTCACTCGATAAAAGAATAACGTAATTATTTGGAATCTATTATAATAAACACCAAATTATAGTTTAACAAGGAGGCATGCATTTTTAAGTCAAGTAATGGCCCGTTTATCAAAAAACAACGTATTTCTAACGGTTCACGGGGATTAACCGACATAGTTACACCTTAGTCATAATAAGTATGAAAGAGGTTTTCTGACCTCCCCGTATATGTAGGCATTTAGTTGAAATATTATGTATATTACCACACACTCACGGCTTTTTATCCCCAAGGGGATAGATAAAAGAGAGGCATATTAAACGTTGACATTTTGGCGACTGTGATTATAAGTAAAAAAGGCAAGCCTATTTGTCATCAATTATTTTTATAAATAAACATACTCATGTATGTATTAACAACCTATATACATATAAATTATATGTCCATGCATGGATGTAGAACCATGCCTCACAGAAAACCGGTGTTAAGCAACTCTTTCTTTCTTTAGGGGTTAGTGGAGCCCAAATCCCTCCGCCACCAGACTTTGAGGGCAGGACTCAAAGGGTGGCAACGCACATGTGACTTCTCAGCTGCAGGTGTCTATATGCGGCAGTAGTTACCATATCCATATCCATTTCCATATCAGGTGACCCTTCTGCTCGTTTGCTCTTCTATACCATAATAAAATGTATATTTAAGATATTTAGTTGTAAATAGATCATATAATATTCTATGTATATTACTTATACATATGTAGCAATAGATAAGTAATATATCATATAAAATTTCATTATAATCGGTTCAGTAGTTAAAATGTGAAAACGTAACAAAAAACAAACTCACTTTCGCATTTATACATTATTTAGAATAACCGGAATGTGAAAAAAGTGTTCGTTTTTAACTACACAAACAAATCGATATCAGGCTTTGTTTTTAAATAAGTATTTTAAGTTTAACGACACAAGTCTTGACAGTCTAATACGTTTGAATTAGTGTCAAGTTAATTAGATCCAAGTCTACGAAAAATTCGTAACATGCTGGTTAAAAACGTTGTGTAAATTTGATAGTACATTAGTATACATTATTGTAACCGAATTACAGGTGGTAACACCAATATTTTGCAAATGGAAACGTGTCGATCGTGATGCGAGACGAGCGCGTGGGTTTTCCTTTGATTTTCTCACAGAGCGCGTCACGCAAGACACCTGCGCATACAGCAGCGGCGGCGCTTGCGCAGCTGTCACTACGTCATCATGTAATTTAATTATTGTAATCGATTAATTGCAAACTGTCTGCGGTCTGTTTCACCGTTTCTGGACAAGGACTTCGCCAGATAAATACCAACTAATTCCATCTTCATCTCCAATAGAATAGCCGACACACCAGCAACTACCATTTTCAGAGGCATATTTATTTATTCAGGTCTGTGACTAAAAAGGTTACTAATAAATATAACCATCAAAGTCATACAACATAGACTTTGTGTTCTGCATTTTCCTGATTAATTAATCAATCATGACGAAATAAACAAATATTTTAACAAAAAAAAAACCGAATTCAAAAAACACTATTCCAAAACAAATAAATATGCACTAAAAAGTAAGAAAATAAATGCATATTCTTATACAACTTAATAATCAACTTACTTTTTCTACTCATCAATATGTAGGTACGATCTATGAGTTTACCACGCAAGAAGGTAGGTAGTAGTAGATTTGAACTGGGTACCTACCCACTTCAAATCTAACGCAACAAATACTTATGAATAACAAACAGCGATCAATTTTTTTTTTAATTTTCTCCTAAGTAAAATGAAATAAATATAAT